AGAACAGGGAAAAGGAAACTTCCTTGAGATCAAGAACAAGTTCCTGCAGAGACGCTATAAGGTTGGTGATTACTAAATTCCAACATTTTAATGATCAATCAGACTTATGATTCACTACATGCTTCAAATCATTTGCACTTGTTTCAGTTATTAGAGCAAGCTCTGGTGATTGAGGAGCAGCTGCGGCGTGCCGCCTACATGAATCTTCAGAACTCGACTACAGACGGCACTGCCCAGTTAGCACAACGATTTGCTGATATTGAAAATGTAGCCGATTCTCATGCGAATGTAGCAAAGGATTCAGCAGCTGGCAATAGAAACGCCAATGCAGTATTGCACAAAGGTGAACAGACTTTCATTTCTCATGATTTTGTTCTTTTTTCTTTGGTACTCTCGATCATAATTGGGAGTTTTTCAGTGCTAAATCAGCTGGAAGAGCTGCTCTCTGATATGAAAGCTGATGTGTCTCGTTTGCCAGCCACATTGTCGCAACTTCGTCCTGTTACTCATAGATTAGCTATGACAGAGAGGCAGTAAGTTCCAATGTATTCTTGAACTTGAAATTATGGAAAGCTCCAGTTTAAGTTCTTAATTTGTTACGAAGTTGAGACCAGGCTGTCATATCATAAACTTTAGAATTCTGTCCCGTCTTACCTCGAAAGATCCCGATGCCATGGCTGGAAAATCCCCCTTGCCGCCTCCGGGCCCATTCGTGACACCTACGCTTGGACAGCAGCTCTCCGGTATACAACCCAAGTTTGCTGCGCTTCATCAACCTGGAAAAGTTTGTTCCGGATTCATCCGTTTTTGGATTTTGATTTTGAGATTTTCAAAGTCATTGGCACAGTAAGAATTATTTTTAGATGTCGGGTGAATCTGTGGATTTGTCCACCGCTCCTTCTTCATCGGAATCTCCACAGGATAAAAAAGAAGGTCAGCTGCTTTCTTTATTGCGTTTTTATCTTTAAGTAAGGCCAAAATTAAAGGTTGAAATTAGTCAGGCCGTTAATGTGAAGTTTAAGATCAGAGCTAGAAATTATGATCTACACTTCATTTTGTTACTTTCTTTAGTTGTTTAAAAGATGATCTATTATTGGAGAATGCGCTTAGTATCTTATCAAATCTATTTGTCCTACCCTGCCCATCGTATATTTTAGAATCAAAAGAAGAAGTTGGGAAACCTGTTCCAGCCGACGAAGAAGTCCCAATGGATCTTTCTGCACCTACTGCGCCAGCAGAAACTGCACCTGCGCCATCACAAGCAGCTCATACGGCGGAACAAATTGTTTGTGCATCCACAGACACTTCCGTTGGAACAGCAGAACAGTCTGCAACACCGACGCCGCCGCCGGTGACTACGCCAGCTGAATCTTCAGAGAAAAAAGTGTGAAATATTGTGGTTTTTATTTGTTCCATTAAGAACACACTAAGTTTAGAGCAGGAATAGCTCTTGACTGAAGTAATTTATTCTCACTGTTCTTGTTTTACTGCTTCATAATAAAATCTCGGATTTCGCAAAGTCTAGAGGGGAGGGAGGGGCAGAATAATTTCTTGCTGCCTATGTGGAGTTATGATAGGCGTTATGCATAGTCGAGTGGAGATGATAAGATGGGTATACATACTGGCGTAATGTTACTACTCTGAGTAGACATATAGAGAACTGCAGTATCACATCTATCACGTCTCGAATCACCC